AACGATGTACAAATGCGCTTTACACAATTGATGTGTGTATGGATTGGGATAACAGTTGTATGAGCCCCTAATAAAATGTTAAAAAAAAAGGGCCCAGCCTATTAAGGGGTGCATCTCATTAACATAACAACCTCTTATTTTTAGACAAGGTCATATTGCTAGGTAGAGAGGTTAGGATGTGGACACATGTTTTGGGGAGATACAATTATATCCATAACATCATGATTCCAACAGTGTGAGATTCAGGCTACAGATGTTCTCCTGATAACAGGAGTGGAGATTTATCTTCTAACAACACAACTTTCTGAACCTGAAGGAAATGGGTCTTGGTTGGAGAATCAGTGCCACCTAATCCCATCTGGTTCTCTTGGGCTCAGTCTTCTCCTTTGGGATCTCTACACAGCAACCGACTCATCTACATGTGTTAAGGAACACATGTTTTGCGTTTGGAAATCATACTGAAGATTTGGCAGGTCCAAGCACTGCACACACTTTCTCTTCCCACTGCCCCCTCAGTTCATTCAGACCTCCCACTGCACAGGGAGGTGGAGTTTTGCCCTCAGGAAGGGGAATGTTTTGCTGGGAGTGAGGTGGGGTGGTGGTCTTTACAACGCTGCGACTGTTGGGAGAGGTTCCCAGCCTATGTGGGGACCCAAACAAACTGAGTGTGAGGTGGGCTGGTTTTCCTGAGTGTGGCTGTTGGTGTCTGAAAGACAGCTAAAAGGGCAGTTATTGACCCTCAATGAATTAGCAAAAAAGTAGGGTAGTAACATTACGCCCCAGTTGTGGCTGCTGGAGCTTCAAAAGGTTTGTGGGGAAAAGAAATTATAAGGCAATGGATTTTTCATACGAGCCTTTTGTAGTTCTCTTGTACAGCTGGTCCTGAGGCTTTAGTGAGTTACCAGTTGACCTGTCAACTGAAAGGTCGGCAGTTCCAAACCACCAGCCCTTTGCAGGGGCAAAGATGAGGCTGTCCGCTCCTGTAACGACAGTCTAGGAACCCCTCCAGGGCAGTTCTACTCTGTCCTATAGGGTAGCTATGAGTTGGAATCATGGTTTCTGAAGTTTTGCATAGGTGGTGAAAGGTAATAAAGTCTGAATCTAGGACTGATAATCACCATTGAAGGACTAATCTCTCACCGCTAAAGTCGTTTCCAACTCATAGGCGCTCATTAGGACCGAGTAGAACTGTCCCCGTGGGTTTCCCGAGATGATAAAGGAGTAGGACAGCCTCATCGTTCTCCCGCTGAGCGCCTGGTGGTTTCGAACTGATGACCTCGCAGTCAGCAGCTCAACACATATCCGATTTATATTCGTCATGTGACAGTCCATGGGAGAGAACCATGCTCGTGGAAACAACACCTGCTATGTCATGGCGGAGAGATCTCCTGTGGAAAGGGCCTGTGCTAGGGCCATCTGGCCAGTCAGAGAGAGGCCAGGGTTCTGAGCAAGGTCCGCCGCGCCCTGTTTCCGTTTCCGGCCCCAGGCCCCGCCCCTTGGCGGAAACGCGGCTGAGTGCTGAGCGCCGGGCGGTGGGAGCGGAACCCCGCGTGGGCCGCGCCTGCGCACTGCGGGGGGCTGCGATGGCTTTGCCGCGCTCCTTCCCCAGGTATCTGCTGCTCATGGCGCAGGAGCACCTGGAATTCCGCTTACCGGTGAGCGCGCTGCGCCGTCCGCAACTTCCGACCGGGAGAGGACAGCGCAGTGGGGTCTATTTAGTTATGGGCAGGGCGGCGCGTGCAGGCTAGGTACTTACTCAAGGATTCTGCGAGCTGCTTGCGTGGGGTAGTGCTTCCGAGTTGTGCGGGGACCCGCTGGTCGGCAGTTCGAAACCACCAGCAGCTCTACGGGACAAAGGTCAGGCTTTCTTTTCCCGTAAAGAGTCTCGGAAACCCACTGGGGATCGCTGTGGGTCAGCTTGACTCGATGGCAGCGGGAGTCACGCGTCCAGCATTGCTCCCCTGGGGTCGCCCAAGCGCGGTGAAGGGTGTGTGAAAAAGGAGTGTGAGACGGACCACTGCAATCTGACCAACTCCTTTCATTCATCCTCCGCTTGTGTGCCTGGCACTGGAGTTAGGCATGTGAACAGAATCGGGCCCTTTCCCTCAAAGAGCTCATAGTCTAGCGGAGGATAGAGACGGCTGCTGGAAACCTGCAATGTTAGACTTCAAATATGCGGGTCAAGGTCAAGGGGCATGGGGTGTGACGGGGAAGTTGGGAAAATTGTGTTCTTTATTCATGCAATAAGTCATTCTCAGATTTTGCTGCAATGGGTGGGTCCTCGAGAGCTTGCTGGCTGAGCCACGCAAAAGGCTGAGCAAAGTGTAACTCAAAACTCACAGCCACCGAGTTGGCCCATAGCCACCCAATTAGGGGAGCTCTTACAGGCCACCCAGCAGGGAAGCAACAAAGCCCACACAGAAGCACACCAGCCTGTGTGATTAGGAGGTGTCAACTGAAAGAGGTATCAGAAGTTCAAAAACAAGCAGTCAAATCAATATGAAGGGTTGTGGATGTAGTGGAGACTCAAAGCCCAAACCCACCTGTAAGATCATTGGAAAGGCCCTCTCAGAAGGGATGAAGAATTGGTGTGGGATAGCACTGTGAACCACATAACTATCCATTAGTTCTTTATATTTCCTCCCCATACTATGATGGCTTTTATTTGTTTTGCCATATTAGTCATGTTAGATTTGCATATGTTCATTTGTGTATTTAATATCATTTGGTACATGAAAACCAAGA